ATACTTAGGTAAAAGGGAATACCAAGTTAAAGAATCATTAATTAGGGTTTCACTAAATTTTTTCAACAAGACAAATTTGATCTCGTGCGGGGCCAAGTCATTTCCCTTTACAACCATGGTGCAAGTCGTGATATGCTCTTGTGGATCCGAAGTCCCATCATACTTTGGGATATCTAGCATCTTAAATTTTTTCGGAATCAACTCGGCGGCCACACTTGGTTTGAACGGTAGCTGCATATATTTCTTTGAATCCGGTCCCTTCAACACCGGTGTTGCTCCTGGGATCAGATTCACCCGAGCATGTAATTCTTTAGCATTTTGGTCCATTCGTTCAATAATTTCCCTCATGAATCTTATGAGCTAGATTTTGAAAGTATCGTTAGCGGTGTTGTCGTACCCGGATCCACTACCTACACTACCTGCTTCATTTTTATTAAAATCGAATCCCTGCCTCGGAGCGACGTTATCGGCTTTTTTACACTATTTGATTTTCAGGCACGCTGGGAGGCACTCGAATTCCCCCATTGGGGTTATTGGAAGCAACTGAAAGTGCCTGATTCAACTCCGTCATAACTAGGTCTTGTCTTGAGAGATGCTTCATAATTTATCTTTGTTGCTCCCTCAAAATTTTGACCGTCTCAATAGTATGTTCATCATCTGCATCATCAGGAGTTGGACTTCTCATATGGCGAAGATTTTGTTCTTCGCATAAAGGAGTTGTCTCATCTCCTTCGTTGCGAGTTTTACTAGTTGAGTCATCCCGCGGGAACACATCCTCACGCTCGTTGTGTGTTTCAACATTGTAAGCATTATTCACACCATTAGCTGCCATATCTGATTTTTCTTTTACTAAAGAAAAGAATCAAATTGCGTTAGTAAAAAATGAATGGATCAAAGTAATTACACAATTGTCTATGCCCCACAGTGGGCGCCAAACTATTTACCCGTAAAATGGTACAGTTTAATTTGTAACGTGGTTTATAGACACGTGAATTATTTTGATCCAAGAATATGAAAATAAACAAGAACAGAAATAAGATTTTTACAAGCATTTGAAGAAAATACAAGCCTCGCTGTGATTTAGCTTATCCCGAAGCAATAATAAAAGAAATTCTTAGAATAAAAGAAAGAAAATATTTTTTCTCAAGTAAGAACAAATTTCAGCCTTTGAGTACAAATGATTTTTTGTGTCCAACTATGGATACAAGTTCTCCTATTTATAGCTCTATTCAGGGAGACAAGATCCCCAAATCAAGCTCTTCTTTAATGAATTAAAACCCCTCTTGGTGGTCGCATAACGATTGACTATTAATACAGAGATTCTTTGTAACGGTTATTAATTGAATGCTGTCTTTTCCAACCATTATCTTCCTTTCAAATCTTCATTCTCGGTTCCCATGCCCCCGAAATTTATTCAGCACCGATTACATGTTTGTAATCTGGTGTCAACTATTTACCAACTCATATCTTACCTGTCTTCAGTTTCACGTATCTAACTCATATAGCGTTCACCTGGCATTGATCAATTTTACCTTATTGACCTATCCAAGATCTAAACATTTTAAATTTTGAATTGAAAGTGTGAATTCCGCAATAGATATCTAGTTAATTAGTTCTACTGATACTTGTTTATTTGCATAGAGAAAGCGAGTTCAAAGCTAAAATAATAATTTTAGTTGAATCAACAGAACTCACACTACAGCCGCCATTGATTGAAGGCCCAAAGCTACTCTTTCCCTACCATTCAATATGCTTAAACATTCCACAATGACCTAAATGGGTATATATACGAGCAGTGGCGGATACTCAGATTTCGGGTTCATTTGAACCCAATACGACGTAGAGCATAAATTTTATATATATATATATATATTACATTAAATAGTAAATTTAAACTCATAATTTAAAGGTTAAAACTCGTAGAACTTAAATCTTAAATTTGCTTTTGTATATGAGAGAAGAGTCAAGCAATAGCCACTATTTTAAATATGCCCAATATTAATGGCGATGGTCCACATCATAATGTTTTTGAAGATCTTGAATCTTTTGAAGGGACCCAAGAAGTTATTGCCTGTCATATGAATGACAAGTGAAGCACAAATTAATAGAGAAAAAAAAACACAAATTAATTCATGTTTCTAAATGATATTACTATTACCGCCCATATTAGGTCTTTTAACTTTTTTACATAAATAATAAATATTTTTTATTTTTTCTAAAATATCAAGTATTTTGAAATAAAATTTTGTTTGCCAAAACAACTAATATTTGTAACTGGAGGGGGCAGAATGGAAAATAAGTTCAATTTATTTATGTACTTTTCCTAGGAAACAGAAACAATGATATATTCATTAATTGTAATGACATTTTTCATTAATGATGACTGATGAGTCAAAACGATATTTAAAATTTTGGAAATTCATTAGATATAATGATTTATAGAGTTTGGAACCAAAATGTTGTCTTTTTGGACAAAAGTAACATTAATAAGTGTAAAAAGAAAAAGGTTACCATTCTATATATAGCGCGGTTGCTATACTTTAACGGTGTTTTAGCCGTTAAAGTAAAACGTGGTTTAAAACCGCGCTATATATGCATAGCGCATGAATTAACTGCGTTATATATATAACGCATGAAATCACTGTGTTATACACGAAACCACTGGGCGGCCCAATGGTTGAAGGGTAGTTATGAAGATGGTTTTGTCCTTGCAGTACAAGGGTCGAACCACTACCCCAAAATTCTTGTATTTTCCTATTCCTTTTTCATTTTTTGTTTCTTTTCATTATTTGATTTAAGTGTTTAGATATAAATACTTTAATAGAGAAGTCTTTTATTATTTCTTTAAAAAATCAACCAATACTTTTAATAGTTGTTATTTTCGTTATACGTAAAACAAAATTAATTCTTTCCTTTTATTTTCAAATTAGAATTAAAAGTTTTATTTTATAGTTAAAATTTCCATATATATATATATATATATATATATATATATATATATATATATATATATATATATATATATNTAACAGTACAGTGGCGATCAAGTTAGAATTAGAAAATTCAGTCAACAACTGGAGATAGATATCAAGGTTAAGCGAAATACAGAATTAGCAAAGAAACTTCAACAAATAACTTGTAGATTATGTACTAATTAACTTGCATATATAAAATCCTTATATCATACAATATATATAAACAAATAAAGGACCTAAAACAACATAAAACAATTAACATGTACGGAAATCAAACCAAGATAAAAGGCCAGCAAAACTTAATCTTGAAAATTGACCATATATATAACAAACTCAGTCTTACCAAAGTATGAAATGGGTCATAGATTTTGAGAGGAGATTTAACTTAAATTAATTGTTCTGAGGAGGACTTCCTCTGCTAACTCCAGGTCTTGGTGGTGTTCTTCCCCTCCTTGTTGCTGCTTCTATCTGCATGAAATTTACACCAAAATAAAACAAGTGACATGACTTTAATTTTTGGGCTTTTTTCTTAATACTATAAAACGAGATACACCGATACAATTTATTTCTCATTTTAGCCTTGTGTACACCTTTTAAGAATACTATAATTGGAGTTATATATTTGATTGAGTTACCTACCTTTGTTCAAGAACATTTACTCCTATTAGATTAGAAAAAATAAATTTGAAAAGAAAATTATTAATTCTTTATCGATTCTCTACAACGATAAGTAATTTCGGTTGCTGCTACCCCAGAAGTGTTTTAAATTTCGGTTTTTTTTAAAAACAGAAACAAAATTCAGTTCCGTATCTCTTTTTTTAAGGATGAACATAACAATTGGATTAATGATCCTAATAAAATCCTTCAACACACCTTTAATTATTTCCAAAACACCTACCAAACAAGTCACAAATCATCAAATTTGATAAGCATTCAAGCTTCCCCAATTTCATCCTCAGTCACTGATCTGTTAGCCCTGGATAAACCACTACAAAACTATGAGATCACTAGGGCTATCTTTTCCTTTAAATCTTTCAAAGCTCCCGGTCCGGATGGACTACACCCATTCTTTTATCAGAAATATTGGCACATTGTTCATAAAACGGTTTCTGACTATTGTCACTCTATCTTTGAAACCCTCACGATCCCTGAGCAGCTTAACACTANGACAAACCGTCTTCATAACTACCCTTCAACTATTGGGTCGCCCAGTGGTTTCGTGTATAACGTAGTGATTTCATGCGTTATATATATAACGCAGTTAATTCATGCGCTATACATATATAGCGCGGTTTTAAACCACGCTATACTTTAACAGCTAAAACACCGTTAAAGTATAGCGCGGTTTTAAACCGCGCTATATATGGAATGGTAACTTTATTTTTTTTACACTTATTAATGTTACTTTTGTCCAAAAAGACAACATTTTGGTTCCAGACTCTGATTTAGAGCCTGTTTGGCCAAGTTTGTGGAAAATAAAAAGTACTTTTTTTGGTCAAGAAAGTACTTTTTGAAAACTGTAAGATGTTTGGCCAAAATAAAAAAGAGTTTTTAAGCTGAAGCAATTTTTCTAATTTTGGAGAGAAGCTACAAATTCTAGCTTTTTTCCAGAAGCAAAAACAGAACTAATTTATTCAAGCAAAACTTTTCTCACATTAAATTTATGTTTTCCAAATTATCACTCATTAGTTTAATATTTCTATATTCTTTTTCTCATTTTTACCACACATTTGTTCACTTTTTTATTCTATTATATTTTTATTCTCTTTCTCATATTTCTCTCTGTAATATTCTTTCTACTATAAATAGTTCTCTTCTTTTATATTGATTTATAAGAGTATATTTTTAATTTATACTGAGTTTATATCATCATGTAAACAATAAGTAATACTAAATGTCCCAATATTATCATTTTGCAATATGAACAGTAACAGTACAGTGGCGATCAAGTTAGAATTAGAAAATTCAGTCAACAACTGGAGATAGATATCAAGGTTAAGCGAAATACAGAATTAGCAAAGAAACTTCAACAAATAACTTGTAGATTATGTACTAATTAACTTGCATATATAAAATCCTTATATCATACAATATATATAAACAAATAAAGGACCTAAAACAACATAAAACAATTAACATGTACGGAAATCAAACCAAGATAAAAGGCCAGCAAAACTTAATCTTGAAAATTGACCATATATATAACAAACTCAGTCTTACCAAAGTATGAAATGGGTCATAGATTTTGAGAGGAGATTTAACTTAAATTAATTGTTCTGAGGAGGACTTCCTCTGCTAACTCCAGGTCTTGGTGGTGTTCTTCCCCTCCTTGTTGCTGCTTCTATCTGCATGAAATTTACACCAAAATAAAACAAGTGACATGACTTTAATTTTTGGGCTTTTTTCTTAATACTATAAAACGAGATACACCGATACAATTTATTTCTCATTTTAGCCTTGTGTACACCTTTTTAAGAATACTATAATTGGAGTTATATATTTGATTGAGTTACCTACCTTTGTTCAAGAACATTTACTCCTATTAGATTAGAAAAAATAAATTTGAAAAGAAAATTATTAATTCTTTATCGATTCTCTACAACGATAAGTAATTTCGGTTGCTGCTACCCCAGAAGTGTTTTAAATTTCGGTTTTTTTTAAAAACAGAAACAAAATTCAGTTCCTCATTATGTTCATCTTTACTACGTAACATTTTTCATGATCTGGATCTCTTATTTAATTAGCCTATCTTGATAGTCGGAATACGAGAAAGGTTAAGCTTGCGAAGGGCTGTTTGTTTGAATAACAGAAAAAAACAAATCGAAAACATCTTTTTTTCACCAAAGTTAAGCAAATTTACCACTTCTAATGGAGCTAGCAAGCAAGCAAGCACGCAGGCGCGCGCCATATATATATATATATATATATATATATATATATATATAAAGATGTGGATCCAGAATTTGAATTGTATGGGTTCCAGTTCCAATTTCAACTCATTTAATTTAGCGAGTTTGAAATCAATTATTTATACTTATTTAGTGAATTTTTTAACACCTATACAAAGTCCGAGTTAAAGCTAGGGTTCGAATAAACCCATAACTTACACTCTACATCTGCCAGTGTGTGAGAGAAATAGAGAGAGAGCAACTAAGTAAAGGAAAAAGATGTCTTACAAGTGTTTGGGATTGAGGTGGATCATTAGCTGATGGAGTACTAGGGTTTTCGTTGTTAATATTTGTTGAAGCCTGCTTCACTTCAGGACCATCTTCTTCTTGGAAAACACAATTTTCTTTTTCACCACTCTCTTCATTAATATTCTCTTCTTCTTTTTCTTCTTTTTGATCTGACATACTTGAAGAAGAAGAAGACGACGAAGACGACGACTCAGGTTTTGAAGATTCAAAACCAAGACAGTTGAGAATAACTCTAATAGCTTCTTGTAAGTAAAAAATTGGATTCTTGGAAATATCATAAACTTTAGTTAAGCTACTCTCTTCATCACCTCGACCTCTCTCTTTTTTCTCTGTAATATCTTCCATTTTCCTTCTTTTTGTTGTTTCTTTCAACTTTCTCTTCTTTTTAAACAGGTCTTTAATGCTTTGCTGTGTGGTTTGGTATGAGGTTCTTGAATGAACTTTGGGCTTTTCTAGTTTAATATTTTGACAGATATGCTGTATTTTATCACCAATTCAAGATTATCATATTTATGGAGTCCTAGAGGGAGTTGACCGGCCAGTGGCCACATGTCTAATTGGCTACACATCTATATTTGATATCATCAAATTTAATGTCCGCTTGGACTAAACCACCCTTGTTTCCTTAAAAAGGATCTAAGTTATATTCGGAGTATTAATGAACTTTTACACTATCAATATAATTTATGATAATGTCTTTTTTAATCTAGTTACCAATTAGTAATACTTATTATAATAATTTACTTGCAATTAATGTGAATTTACTTATAATTACTTTATAAATAACATGATATATAATGTATATATCAATTTGCACTTACCACATAATTTACCTTAACCTGCCAGTATAAATATTTTATACGTTTCTCTAAACCCTTCCTTTAATATCTATCGGATAAATTTAAGTTATATACTTTGATAATATAAATTTTATGCTATCAACAAATTTTAATTTATGATAGCATTGTACATAGTTACCATATGCTTATCATAAAAAATTTATATATGTAATTATCTTATAAATAACTTGATTCTGGAAATATATTATACACTCTCTAGATATGCACGAAACTTAAAATCTTATCAAATTAGCTAGTTTGTATCAGTACATTATCTTCTTCAGCCGAGAGTTTATTGGAAACAGCCTCTCTACCTCGCCAGGTAGGGATAAGGTCTGCGTACATACTACCCTCCCCAAACCCCAACTCGTGGGATTATACTGAGTATGTTGTTGTTGTTGTATCAGTACATTATCTCTCTCATTCATAACAAATGCAAAGAATCATTGTGTCCAACGGGGGTAGCTGTAGCTCTTGTTTGTGAACATGTATTATTCATGAATGCTAACTGAAATACTATACTCTCTTTTTTTCAATACGTAAACTGAAAAACTATAAGATAAATGTGCATAACTATTCTTATCTGATTTTGCAATCATGACATTATAGCGACCGATTTCTTCAATATTATCTTCTACTAAACTCTAACTAGCATTAGTTTTATGTAGGAGCGGAT